AGAGAAGAGAAGAGAAGAGAAGAGAAGAGAAGAGAAGAGAAGAGAAGAGTGTCCATATTTTGAAAGCAGATGGTGTTGCTGCATGTCTGAGCCCTGATACATATGGGGGCACTCTTATTTATTTTAATTATTTAGGTAGCCAAAACAGCACACTCACCCATCAGTGGGCTTAGGAGATTCCCAAGGTCTGCAGAAATACCTCCAAAGTAAACTTCTTAGGAAGTAGAGTGCAAATCCCAAATATGTTCCTTGCCCCCATAAAATAGAATCAGACTGATGGAGGAGGGAAAACATACAGGGAGGAAAATGGAGCCAAGTGGTCTTTAGAATTTTCCAGTCTCTAGGTCCAACACAATCAGTATATTTCCAAGAATTGTAAAGGACCCCAATGGATATTTTATTCTTGGGATTCCTGAGCCGTGATATCTGAACTGCAGGCTGTTCACTTTGTGCAACACTGCTTGCACTGCTGCTCTTCAGAGATGCTGAGATAAGTTAAGGCTATAATTACACTGTGTAATGGGTTGCAGTTACACTGCAATTACCAATGTAATGTTTTGTGTCATGTAGGAAGAGAGATACTTATATTGTTCATTGACAAATGAAAATAGAACACTTTTTTTCCTTAACACAGAAATGTGTAGTTCAGTGTGTTTAATGTCTCTAATGGTAGTATCTGGAATTGCACTTTCTTTGCATATATTATATTGCTCCCCAGATACGTTTCAAAAAAGGGTTAATGCATTCTTGGATTTTAATTATCTAAACTTGTCATATAATTTTTCTCGGACTTTTAACTTTAATTTTCCTTTATTCCTGGAGTAATTTACTTGCTGTCTTATGTCTGGTGCTCTGTTCTTCATGTTGCAGTTGTTGTCATTGACTGGATTCTCTTCCCATTTCTCTTGCAAACCTATTACCTAATCTGTTTCTTTCATTGGACCTTGTCTGCATTTTTTTGGCTATTTTATGCAACTTCTTCCTCTTATGTATTCCCTAACACGCCAAGTAACAGTCTCTTCTACATTCTTTCCCATTTTCAAAGCAGACAGTATAGGATCCCGAATGCCTTTGTTTTACTTCTGAAAATGAAACCTAATGTATCTGAATGGCCCAAAATTGGAACAAGTTGTCCTATTTTTATATCAGGAATATCTTGGATGAAGAACTATTTGGCACTCCTGCATGTGCCATCTGTGACAATGACAGAACGATGGAGAGCTGCTAAATAATTCTAGGGACTCACCTGAAATGTCTGTTCAACGAATAAACTAAAGGTAAAACTTACCAGCTATCCAAATAGCAGAGCCAATGTTCTATTTAGCAGATGTACAAGGTTAGTTATGTATTCTCTGTTTTGGAACTACAGCTGATAGAATTCCCAACCACTTACATGCTGCCACCTCAACCACGCATGAAAGCCATCCCAAGCACCTTGGAAGAAAATCTGGATAACATATATCAAAATAAATAATAAATACATTTTAATTGGCTTGAAAAATACTATTGGTTATGTTAACTTATGATGAGAACTGGTGTCCATATCTAGCTATATATAGTACAATATCTGTACTGTATATGTATTGATAAAACTGACTTGCTGACTGAAGCTTCTTTCAACATTTATTCTTCCCCCTCCTTTTTTTTAAAGGGTTGATGCATGCAGGAAGGAACAATGATTTATTAATTTATTGAGTAGCTTGTACTCACCAGAACATCAAAAAAGCTTTGTTATTGTAAAAAAGTACTTTGTATCAAAAAGATCACTCAAAACTTAGTTATAACAAACACTTACTGGAACGATTTTGCTTATACATGCAAGTTTGTCCTAAGGACTTTTATCAGAAAATGTCTGCACTGAGCTACTGTATCATTCATTAGCTATGTTGAGACAGACATTTTAATGTGCAGTGGGAATGGTTAATTGTAGTAGTTATACAGAGTTTCTACATGATGTCATCTTTCTGTAGTGGACAGCTCATGCTTTTCCTCCCTTCCATCCATAGTTATCTCAGCGGGTCATCTGATCAATACAGTCAGGTATCAAGTTTTTTGAGGGGGGGGCAATGGGTTTTACACCAGCAGTGACTGTCCTTTTCTCCCTTTGGCTCAACTTCTCCCATATAGTTCCCTTCCATGGAACTGAGCATCTGCACTGCTATTGCATTTACTTCTGTAGCCTGAAAAAATCCTGACTTTGAGATCTTTGATTATAAAACAAACAAACAAAAATTTTGTGCAAAGGTCAATTAATCAACTGTCACATGTTCATAAAGGTCACAGGTTGGGGAAGTGAAGAGGAGAGGGACAAGATATTAAGCAGTGGAACAGCGTGCCTCTTGGAGTCAGGGGTGCTCCATCACTAGAGGTTTTCAGGCAAAGGCCGTTTGTCTGGGATGGAATGAGGGACTCCTGCCTTGGGTAGGGGGCTGGACTAGAAGACCTCCTTTCCAACTCTACGATTCTATAATTCTAACAGGGGCAGAAGAAAAATCATGAAAAAAACCACTCTGTTATGAACCAACTATAGAGCCTTTCTTTACAAGAATGGTACTAGAGTGCTTTGATAAACACAATTTTGCATGCCAACCATATGATACAATGCTCAACCATGTCTAAACTGTAATTGTGGCTTCTCTGTTAGTTTCTTCCTGCATCTAAAAAAGTTGAATTTTCCCCAATAAAGTGATTCATTTGTGGGACTTAAAAATGTCTGGACATCACCTGGAATGTGGTTCATCTAAAGTCCAAAATTTCTACAGTCCTCCAATTTTCTCCATAGCTCTGCATATCCTTGGCTTAATTTTTATCCTCGGGGGAGTTAATGCTCTATGCTGGGCAGAACAACACTCTTCCATTCTGGTAATATTTTTGTCTCCACTACTTTCAAAGATCCACTATAAAAGGTTTTGGAAGCTATGAGCTTTCCTCCTTCCTTCGACAGCCAAGTTGCTCCGATTTAAAAGGCCTCGCATTATGTTGGCATCAAACAAACAAGCAAATTGTGGGGATGTAGGGAGCAGTGGAATGGAACCACTAGCTTTTATTCTCTTTCTATTGAGGATTTTCTTTACAAAGGCTAGCTATGCATGCACACCCTGTCATCTGGTTTAAATAGCAGAAAGAGGGATCTATGGAGGAAGGATAGCCTTTAAACTTTGTGGACATCTGCCCCTGATTGGAATAAAACAGAGACAAAGACAGTAGAATCTGGTAATGATGGTGCAGACAGATTGTCCCCAAATCACTTTTTTTTTTTAATGTGCTTTAGAGAGGGTTAGGTATTGCTGCGAGACGTTCATTAAGAAGGATCATAGGTGGCTTTTCAACAGTAAAATGTTGAACAGAAGTGAAATCTATGAACACCTGAGAGCTGAGAGCAAGAAAGAACAGGAAAGAAGTGACATTTTGCAAAACATGATGGCTTGCAGCTGGTCGTCCCGAACATTAGAATTGTCTCACTGCTGCTTGCTCTCTATTCAGAATATAGCATTATTGGAGTCGGGGGGGGGAGGGGGGGGAGAAAGGGCCCCGTATTTCCTTAGAAGCTGTCTTCATAGGGGCAGCCTAACTTACCATTAATTGTTTTTAGAAAGCTAATTTCAGAGACAAACAGTTAAAAACAATGGCTAGCTTTCCACACAACTTCCTTAATGACTTGTCAGACACAAAAGCAGTACTAATCTGATTAGTAACTGCGATTGAGAAAATCTACTGTAAAAATGAATCGTGCCTCAGGTTTTGAACATGATATCGGGCAAGACATTTGAGACTGGCCACTGTGAGACATAAAAGTGTCTTTGATGGAATATTTATTTCAGAAGATTTTTTTTTAAAAGCCATAAGAAATAATATTGTTCGTGTTTGCTCCTAAAATTTTATAGGTAGAGGAGGTGACACTCCAAATGTAAATTAATAAAATCTGTTATATTGTAGGAGGGGAGAGGAAAGCACAGCAAAACAATTCACACACTGAGAGAAATTTTCAAATCTTTCAGCAGCAGCTGCATAGGAGTTAAGGGGAGGGGAATACTTTGGAATCTTTGCTAAGCGGAAAAATCAGCAAACCTTCTTACATGGAACTTGGACATTTTCCACAGTGGGTTTTTTTTTTTTTTGGTCCACCTCCCTCCCTGTCTCCTCTTATATTTCTGCTTGTCACACTCTGGCACTCACAGCTACTCATTTTAAAGCAGCGAAACCTCTTCATTTCTCAAAGCATGTAGACACTCCTATGAGATCTATTAGAAAATGACAAAAATTCTCTGACAACTGAAGTCAGGGCCAGAGATATGTCACCATCAATGATGAATGGTTCCCTGAGAGGAAATGGAGAAAGGCTTGAGTAGCAAAATGTAGCTCTGAACCTTCATGTTGAAAACTCCAGGCTGATGTGTTACTTTGGACAACTGGAGCCCAGCACTCAATGGCTAAATGTGGTCACATTTATATTTATCTGGAAGGAGAGGGACAAGCTATATTATGTTTTCCAGGACGTCTATTAATCAGTGATGGTGAAAGGAATCAAATAGTCCCTTAGATTCAGTTTATGACCCTTCTGATGCTACCCAAAATGAAGAACACAAGTAAAAAAAAGATGCCCTACTTTAAATTGGTAGACACTTTGAGGGCACATATTTAATTCAGATAGATCCTACAGTAAAGTATTTGGTAATTTTTGAGTAAGTAAATAGATAAAACTGTCTTAAAATATGTCAGACCATTTATTCCAGTGGTGGGGTGAATCCCTCCTTGTGACATCTATTTTTTTTAGTTCCTCAATATTCACTAATAGATGTATAAATCATATATTTGTAATGTATTAATTCTAAGCTCAAGAATTAGATTCAAGTACCATAACTTCATCAAGCTTGGTGTCCTTCCAGATAAAAATTAATTCCTACTTCAACCCTTAGTTTAACTGAAGGTGAGATTGAAAGGTAATTATTTCTGTCATGGCTGTTCTTAAATAACTGGGAACAAGAAATCCTTGCTGATCTACTGTGAATCATCCAGAGATCTGCTTTTAGAGCTAGTCTACTTTCTACCCACTCCTAGTAGCCTCTCCAAAATTGCAAGCAAAGATCTTGGCAGGTCTACAACTAAGACTGTTTAAAGTAGAAATATGCCACAGATTGAAAATTGGACCTTCATTGTTCAAAATATTTTTCCTACCACTCAGGTATGGCTCTTCCACATAAGGACTTAAGGGTGCCATAGTTATATGAAGAATGTATACAGTAAACAATGTTTTGGAAAAACATAAACCAACTTTACAACTTGATGTTGTTTTCCTCACTAGCTTTGCATCACCTTCTACATCTAGGCTGTTTAATTCCAAGCCAACAGCAAGAATAATATTTGTTTCCTGGATTTAAGCAGCTCTGAATTTGTGGGTTTTGTGTTTCCATACACAGTTTATACTTGAAATAACAAAGATGCAATTTGCCAAAAGTGCACATGAGGGCATACATGCATCATTGTGGGTGGCTAGATGCAGAAACAAGATAGGAAGATGTTCAAGGATCTTATAGCTGAGATTATTGAAAACTGTCTTAAACAATGCTGTGAATGAAGGAAAGTCACAGTTCAGGTAGCTTAAAAAGAAAGAAAAAGAAGAAAAAAAAAACTCATCAGCAAATTCATTTCCCAGAGAGCTACAGCCAAACTTTGGCTAGAATCTACTGTTCTGCGGTTAACATTTTTATTTCTCTGCCAACCACCCATATGTGATGAGAAAAGAAAAATGTTATATAAATTATGTGCAGCACTGGGTCCCGCCCCCCTCCCCCTTTGTGGTTCCATTCTTAAGGCATATATCACTGGAGGCAGAGCTAACTTTACCAGAGAAACAGCAAATCCAGTTAGACCTGACATAGTAACAGTTTTAATGGAAAGAATAAAAGAAAAGTTTTGAAGCACCTCTTGTCCACAAAAAGACCATCACAGCAAAATGCAATTGATGGGGGGGGGGACTTGTGGGACTTTCTCAGAAAAGGCACCAGAAGATGGCATCTAGAGAGTCACTGGAAAAAGCTGTGCACCATTTCTGGACATCTCAGCTCAACCCTTGAAAGCTAGCCAAGGAGAGATAATTTCCCCTTTCGCTCAACTGAAAAAGTGGAATCATAAAGTGAAGCCTAGCTTACAAGGAAGAATCAGAGCACAAATTACCCCCAATATTCTAGTACACAGTCCCTTGTGATTTTGAACAGTATAGTAGACAGAGTTGAAGGGTTGTAGTCCAGCTTGCTGGCCTGGGTTCTCCATGGTTCTT